CAGTAGGAATACTGAGTGGGAAAAATCTCATTATAGCCAAACATTGTAATATTTACAAAGTAGCAAATGTAAAGCAGATCCTAAACTACAAAAAATTGCACTGGCTGAGAGGAGTGAGTTTGAGCTGCTCGCAGATCCTTTCAATGCGAAAATACTACCATCTACCAGACTTCACAATCGCCCTTGACAGTGGCAGATTGGTCGACTCCCGTAAAAGCTTCATATTAATGATGGTTTGATATAAGGAATACCGTAATCTCCTGAACACTTTCATCTGATTCATTGAGTTTTCACTTCAAATCCAAAAGAAGTTGGAAAATGTACGCACTGGTTAAAAATAAGGTAAATGACCGAGTGAATACCATTCATTGCCACCCATACAATACACGACAAAAAATTAGCAAGTGTACCACTTCCAAGCAGGAGCATAGCATAATTCCAATAAACGTACGCGAATACGAAGTACAGAATAATCATCGATTCCTAAATGTCAACTGAGCCTCCACCTATTTCAAAGAATGAGGTCTTCGCTTAGTACGATGCTTCTTCCCAAATATTCGCTTTTTTGCGACCATAGGGCACCTTCGAACAGTATCAACTACTTGTACACTGTTTGATAGATAATTTTCTGCTCTGTAAGATAGTTTAATTGCCTTCTTACTGCCTTCTTGGTTTCTGCCAATTTTTATTTCATTGAAATGGAGTGTCGGGTCGACACAAAAGTGAGTTTTTGACAGCAACTTTTTGCAATTTATCTCGGCTCCCGAATTATAGAAGAAACTCAAAACCTGTTATGTGTATATGACCAATTAGAAATGACTGCCTGCAGAACATAGTCCATCACTTTCGAACGTCTCAACATCAACTGAGGGTGATGCTTGATAATGATAAGGAAGCATTCCATGACTCTAACGATTTCTCAGTCTTTTACATGAATTTCCGTTGACAAGGTTATTCAGTAAGCCCTCAGTCGACTCAATAGGGCATTAAATTCGATGGTTATCTGCGGAGCCCAAATCGAAATGTTCAATAACTTGAGCCATTATAAGCATTCCTAATAGACACAGCCTCGTGGCCATATACTTACCAGGAAAGGATGGTTAGTCGAAGTGGCCATTTGAAATGAGGTGTACCGGCTGATGCGTCTCGGACACTGATTTCAAATCTGCCCTCCAAATCTGCTAAACGATTCTCCGAGCAGAATTATGGAGGCTTGAGCAAACCACTGCTCGAGACCACCAAAGCTCTGCAAGTATCTAAATGATGGGTGAGCTCATTTCCCACGTGCCTAGATGGTCGTGGAGATGCGACCGCACTCATGCGTGTAAGGTCAAGGGTTAGTATCCTTAGATAAATGGTCGTTTTGCATTTTCTCAAAAATGTTTTCTGCACATCCTAAAAACTTTTGCGGGGCTCTCCTCATAAAACATGAAATTTCTGGAGGAGAGCAGCCATTCTGGCTCAACCCTGAAGGATACTCCTGATTTTTGGTTTCCTCGGCATTTTTCGTTGTGTTGTGTCGCCAAACTGACTCCAAATGGCATGGAAGCCAAAAGTGAATGTCGTGTTTGTGATCAGGGCCGTCAGTAACCAATAAGGACTGAGATTCAGCGGAAAAGTTCCATTGCTCACAGAGATTTTGATCGGCGATAGTGCCAGCGACCTTAAGGAATTTGTTGCCCATGGTTACCCCACTGTATCGAAAATAGGTCGAAATCTCAAATTTGGTTGAAAACTTGTCTCTAGGGCTAATTTGAGCCCCAGAACACGAATATCACACTCGTTCGGCGTAAAAACGCTTGCCAAGGACGTTGCAGGTTCCTGCACACCCTGCCCCTCCAGAATGCGAACAAGATATTTTCACGAAAAATGACTGCAGTGTTGATTTCCAGAGCACCAGAACACCTCTAATTCAGATTTCAGCGAATTTGGGGTTTTGGTGTGCCTCAAATACATGCTGGAAATGGGTGTGACCTGGTCAAAATTCCTGCATAACTTTCCAGGGAATCGTTTAGCAGATATGGAGGGCAGATTTGTAATCAGCGTCCAAGGGCCCATCGGGCAGTATACATCTCATTTCAAATGGCCACTTCGACCAACCATACTTTCCTGGTTAGCAACTGGCCCTCTGCGGTTTCAGGTTTCTAATTAGAGATAAAAAAAGCAGAGCTGTCGAAAATGCTCAATTTCTCGGACCTGACACTTCAATTTAAGTACTTAAATATTAGCGGAAATAGAAACTTCGAAAAAAATTAGGAGAACTATCGTATTGGGCGAGAAATTCCCTACAAATCGGAATAAAACTCGATGGCAAACTTTCATCTTTAGCGCGGTTTTAGTGTGAGTAAAAAAACACCATCACTTATGGGCCTGTACCGCCCCACCCGTCTAGTCTCTCATGGCCAAATAAGCCCCATATCAAACACGCAACACGGCGATGTGTTTCACACCAACGGATGATGTGCCTGGTTACAATCAATCGCTCAAGGCCAGACGTCAGCTCATAACCTCGATCATCCTTGGAGGGTACCTACAATTACAAGCAATGCGTGCCGGTCAATTCTTCATGAGATGCGAACATTTTCCCCTCTATAGTAGTTGACTTTCGTCTGGGGAAGTAAATGATTCAATCGTCGGCAAGTGCGAACAGGGTTTCGTGATGTGTGAGGTGGCTCCTAAACAACGTAACAGCTGAAAAGGAAGGATGCCGAATGCGTGAGCGAGCCAGGCCAATCGTTCCCATCTTCAAACAGAAAGGGGACGCGACGGAGTGCTCCAACTACCGCGGGATCAAGCTGACTCCCCATACCATGAAGCTGTACGAGCGCCTGGTCAACACTAGGCTGAGGGAACTTGTCCCTATCTCGCAGGAACAGTTCGGCTTCATGCCCGAGAGGTCCACCACCGATGCCATCTTCATCGCCAGACAGCGATGGAGAAAGTAACCGAGAGAAGCGGCGACCCTGCTACCTAGCCTTCCTGGACCTTGAGAAGGCATTCGACCGCCTGCCAAGGCCTGTACTCTGGAGAGCGCTCAGAGAAGGGGGCCGTAAGCGTTCCGGAACACCTCATCTCTCATAGTGAAGGACATGTACGATGGGGCTAAAGCAGCTGTACGCACCCCTCACGGCTTGACAAAGGAGGTAAACATTACGGTTGGGGTACACCAAGGGTCAGCCCTCAGCCCGTTCCTCTTCCTCCTGACTCTAGATGTCATGGCAAAAGAACTCATGGAGGGACCACAAAACCATCCTCTACGCTGACGACATCGCCCTGATAGCAGCAGGGAGAACTTCAGGACAAGGTGCAGCGGTGGCAGGATGTGCTCGCTGAGAATGGACTCCGGCTGAACGTAAAGAAGACCAAGTTCCTAAGCTCCGAAGAGTGCGCCGAAGTCATCGTAGATCGCCATGGCGAGAGCATCGAAAGGGTCGAGGATTTCCAGTACCTGGGGAGCAACCTAGCAGCTGATGGCAGCGTGGACCAGGCGGTGACGGCCCGAATCAACGCAGCCTGGATGAAATGGAGGGAGTCCACTGGCATCCTGTGCGACCGGCGGTGCTCGAGAACGCTCAAGGGCAAGGTGTACCGGGCGGTGGTAAGGCCTACAATGCTCTACGGCAGTGAGTGCTGGCCCATCTGCAAGAACCATGAAAGGCAGCTCCACTCAGCTGAAATGAGGATGCTGAGATGGGCCTGCGGCTGACACTCGACAGAGTCAGAAACGAGGACGTCAGAGCGTCACACAGACGGCTCCTATCCAGCTGAAGGCACGAGAGCAGCGAATGGTACGGTCATGTACTGAGGAGGCCCGAAGACCACCCAATAAGGAAGGCATTGGAACTTGAGGTAGAGGGCAAGCGACCACGAGGAGCCCCAAAGAAAAGATGGAGGGACGTCATCAAGAGGGACCTCACTGAAGTGAAAGCCACAGCAGAAGATGCAGTGGATCGGAACAAGTGGCGACGTGTAATAAGAACAGCGGACCCTGCGGACCTTTTCCTTATCAGTAGTTATCGCCTCCAGTCACCCACGGTTGATGTTCCCATCTCACCCTTTATATCACTTGCTGGAACGCATGCACCGCTGATGCTGTGACCTGCGCTATGAACACGATGACCTCACCTTTCTAATGCCCCTTATCGAATCTTATCAGCAGCTTACAGTTCGTCACCCACCAATAATGTTCTTAATACCCTACATCATATCTAGGAATCAAGAGCTAGCTGATGCTGTCACCCGCGTTATGAATATGGTAACCTTCTCCTTCTAACGCCCCTTATCGAATCTTATCAGCAGCTTACAGTTTTTGTGACCCACTAATGATGTTCTTGGCCCATACCCTATATCATATCTTGGAATCAAGAGCTAGCTGATGCTGTCACCGTTATGAATATGGTATTCCTTCTCCTTCTAACGCCTCTTATCGAATCTTATCAACTGATATCACTTCCTGTCACCCACCAATAGTGTTCCCGTCACACCCCTACATCACTTCTTGAAATCAATGTCTCACTGCTATTGGGACCGGCGCTATGAATTTCGTGACACACACAGACAGACACACAGACATACATAGCGGATTATATACAGTAGGATTAGGCCAACCCGCTAGGAACCTCAGCTAAAAACGAATATGAGGCATGCCTCAAAAAAAGATTGATAAATGCCAGCATTTTGCTGCCCATTTTTGATGACTGCCAAAAAACAAAAGCAGTTCCTGAACTCCTCCTGCACCAGGCGCTGGGTGTATCATCAGTGTGGGCTTGAGGTTACGCCAAACCTTTCTCCACCTACCATCGGAGAATAACTATAGCACATAACACATATCAGGAACGACGGGGCAATTTCAGGAGGCGAGGATGGGCTCACCTGCGGCTGCGCTTTCTACCAATAGTAGGCTGTTCAAGCAGGCGAGTATTGGTAATGAAAGCCGCCACACTCCATGCTTCTCGACTTTGCCCCATCACTTGGCATCCTTTCTTGCGAAATGCCCTTACCTGCAGTGTGATAAGAAGCTCCCGTTTACTGAGTTTAGTTGGACTCTGAAAAATCCAGATTTTGAACGAATCGGCATTCACATATTTCGTATACAAGAACTCACACAGAAGCCCATATGACAAAAAATTGATATATATGTTAGAGTTGGCATTATGACAGTCACCAGAAGGAGGGATCTACCTGAACGAAAAATTTATTATCGGAACCCTAGAATGAAAAGACTCATGAAGTGCTCACTGATTTTGGACATCACAGTCGATATGAGTGAGTCCGATTGTGGACGGTACCACGAAAATGT